AATAAAATTAAAAACTACAGTGTAATACAATAATAACAATAGAAACAATAGAATAGAAGAATTGAAACAATACTAACTAATTCAGATAAATCCAAAATGCTTGGGTCATAATGTGTTAAAAGCCAGAGCGTAAAAGTGTGTCTTTAGTAAAGATTTAAATTGCTCAAGAGTTTGAGCAGATCTAATATTAAAGGGGAGACTATTCCAAAGTCTGGGACCTGCCACAGAGAAGGATCTATCACCACGAGATTTGAGGTTAGAGGTAGCTAGCAAGAGGCAAGTTTTTGAAGAAAAAAGAGTAAGGAGCTTTCCCAATGTTTTTGGATTATAGCGCTTTTTTTGGGGGAATAGAGGGGTAGCTAACAAGTTATTCTAGGGGTTTTGGAGAAATCGCGGAGAAATTTTTAAAAGGAGTTTTGGCTTTGTTTGGCTGAGCATGAAGGGAGCCGCGGGGCGCTGAATTTGAGAAAAAAGACTAAGGATTTTTTCAGGATTTTCCCTGTTATCGAATATAAGGTTTTGGGAATAGAGGGGGTACCCTAACAAGTTATTGTAGGGTTTTGGAGAAATAGCGGAGGGTTTTTTAAGGAGTTTTCCCTGCTTATGTATCTAAGGAGGGTTAGGGGATCGCGAGTTTTTTCTGAGTATGAGTTTTATTCTAAATCTACAAATGCATATAAATCTAAATAAAGTTTTCCCCCAAGGCATGCAGCATGTGTTTGTGGCCATACTGAACGTTACAAAAGCACAAGTTTAACTAAACAATTTTAATATGGTTTAATACATTTTTAAACACATGAGCACGGAGCCCGAGAGAGCACGGTCCGGAGACACGGGCGCGCCCCGCGCGCCCAGACACACAGCCTCGGGCGCGCGCGCGGGCACGCACACACACACTGACCCGCCACCAGATGGCGTTTTTTGAGCATAAAAAAAAATAAAAATAAAAATGTAATTGCTTAAAGAAATAAAAGAATGCTATTTTGATATATAAGAAACTTTCTAAATAATCAATTATATTTTTATGAATATCATATTTTTATGAATATCATATTTTTATGAATATCATATTTTTATTATTTAATTACTTCCTACTTCCGGAGCTCATGAATAATTTAATTAGGGGATAATTTAATTAGGGGTCATAAATCAATTAAGGGGGTCATAAATCACTGCGTTTGACGAAAGGGGTATAATATCACTCTCTTTTGACACCTAACTCTTTCTCAGTCAATTAGCATCAATATTATAGAGCCTAATTACTGTGTAGCTGTGCTTGCTTTCTTTTAGGTGTGACTGATGGTACTACTGTCAGTAAAATTATTGTCCTTGCGTGTCCTAAGGTTTCTGTTGTGGCAGAGATCAGAGGGAGCACTGTTGATGAAGCCACAAGAAGAATGATGGCCTTCATTATGGACAATGCTCTTTCCAGGCAATATAACTTCGTTGGGTGCCATGGAAAGCGGGAATTTCGAGGGCTTAAAGTTTTTGAAGTGCTATATGGTAAGTTCATTAGTTGTAAGATATTTTGTTGATGTTTGAATAACGGATGCTCACTACAGCTGCAGTCATTCAGAATCAACTTTTCTCTCCACCATTGTGAGCGGCTAGCTTCGCAATAACAGAAGTTTGACTTGATTGACGCGGGAATGTTCCCAGTTAGCCTAGCAGTCAGCAAGGAGGCTTCAGCGGTGCATTATGGGATCTGTAGTTTGTATATTATTAGCGCCTCATATCGCCGGGCCATGCATAACAATAATAGTACATCTATATAAAATGATCTTGCGGGCCGGATATAAATGTATGCCGGGCCGGATGTGGCCCGCAGGCCTTGACTTTGACACGTGGTTTAGATAGACTGTACAAATTGTGGAGATGAAACCATCAGCTCATGTTGTTCTGGAGGTTGGTGGCTGCTGGCAGGAATGACCACGTTTCTTTCTGGCTTGTAGCATACTTGAAGAAGTCTCTCACTAAACAGTTTTTTGGTTGCTCACAGAATGTGAATAAGCTCCAGGAACTCCAGAGCCAGCCTCTATTTTTTCCAGTGTAATTAGTAACACACTGATTTATCTGATGGCCCTATTTTTGATTTACATGAAAATTATTGGCGCCCGCCTGGCACACACCTCAAGAAGTGGAATCTGTTTTCTCCTTGGTAGATGTAGCCCTTGTTACATTTTACTATTTTGTTTTGTGTTCATTATGAGGTGCTGTACCATGCAAAAAACTGGTTAACCACTTGCCTGTTCTAAGCTCTGTGCCAATCACTGAGACAGCCCACAACACCAGTTATCATTGTAACTATGTAGACATCTTTTAAACATTTGTCTTAAATGTTTTAAGGTAAAATATTTCACATTAATTTAATTTTTGAGTGCCTACTTGGTAAATCATTTTGTAAATAGCTTTTCTGTTTCCATGAATACTCATGGTCTTCAAAGAGTTCAATGTAGGAGGTCAAACAACTTGAACAGCACAACCTCCAAAACAACTTCAGTACTATCGCAAATCTGATTTTGTTTGTGAAAATGCACTAATTTCTTTTTTTTTTTTAATTTCTTTCAGGACCAATGGATTGGTGAATGAGTGAGAAGCTGTGGTTTGCTGCATTTGTTTTTCCTTTAAACTGTATAACATTTATTTGTTATTGTTTTGTGTATACTGTGGACATTTTTGTCAACATGTTCTCCACACAAAAAATGTATTATATAAAAAAGCATACTGTTTTAAAATTTCATAGTAATCAGTATTAATAAAAAAGATAAACTGGCTTTGTTGTACAGGTGATTTAAATTATAGCTTACTTACATTATCCAAAATTCCATCTGGGCAAACACACTTGGGGCCACCATGGAAACTGAGGACAAAAGTAGCTGGGTGCCAGGTGGGTAACCCAAGTGGGCCCCAACCATCAGACCCGCTTCTACCCATCTGGGCCCCATACTCATTTGTTGGCTGGGCCTGATTTGGGGCCCATCCGGGTCCCATCAATAATCCATCTGGGCAAACACATTTGGGGCCACCATGGAAACTGAGGACAAAATTAGCTGGGTCCTAGGTGGGTACCCCAAGTGGGCCCCAAATATCAGATCTGCTTCTACCCATCTGGGCCCCACATATTTTTTTCAACTGGGCCTGATTTGGGGCTTATCTGGGACCCAGCATAAACCCATCTAGGAAAACACATTTGGGGCCACCATGGAAACTGAGGACAAAATTAGCTGGACCCCAGTTGGGTTTCCCAAGTGGGCCCCAAATATTAGCCCTGCTGCTCCCTATTTGGGCCCCACATATGTGTGTTGACTGGGCTTCGGCTAAGTTACGTGACGTTAGTGATATCGCCACTTAACGCGGCTCTTTGGTCGGTTAGTTAGTTTAGGTTTGTGCCGAAGCTGGGTCTGTTTGTCAGTGTGAAGCCAAACGTACTTTAACGTTTTAGGAAACACCGAGCAGACGGCTCATACTTGCCAACATTCAAAGGGCTGTTGGGGGGGGCAAATATATTTTACAGTGTTTATTTATTCGACAAAATACGTTAAATGTCACCGTTATTATTGGCTGGCCGGAAACAGCGGGGGTGTCCAAATTCAGAGGCTGCTTCCACCTGAGGACCCGCCTTCGCGGTCTAAAGAAAGCCGCGTAGTACGTCACGAGCTCCCTCGGTGGAGTGAAACTGCGTCTGCTCCTTGCTGTCTAAAATATAACCGGGCGCTGGCGTCAATTCTCCACCGTCTCACACTTTGTTTAATCAGTTTTCTGTTTGACGTTTATTCAGCTTTGTGAAAACCCCAGAGGACCCCTCCCGAGGGATTAATAAAGTTACATTTAATCGAATCGAATAACTTTAATCTCAGCCAAAACGATTTACTCACGAACAAGTAAAACACTGGAAAAGCCAAACAAGAACATTTTGAAGTTATCGAAGTGACTTATATATCCTGTTTAACCCGAGTAGCGAAAGACCACGGGGGGTTGAAGACGATGTGCCGGGAGTCCGGTGTTCTCGCCGTCTCAGATATTTGAAGTTTACACAGCTACATTCTCGCCTGAAAATAGTTTAAAAGTTTATTTTGTGACCCAGAAAGAGAAATAAGAGTAATATTAAAACTACAAGCTGCCGCCATTGTTGGAAACTGGAATTGGCTGGGCCGCGCTATGAATTCTGCCATATGTTTTTTCAATTTTGTTGTCCGGGTTGAAATTCGGGAGAAATTCGGGAGAATGGTGGCTCCGGGAGGTTTTCAGGAGGGGCTCTGAAATGCGGGATTCTCCCGGAAAAGTCGGGAGGGTTGGCATGTATGAGACGGTTCACCAAATATGTGGCCCGCGAACTGTGGTGAGGACACAGACTCAACCATGCAGTGCTGAAGTTTGTCCTTAAAAGAGCTCTCACCCTGTTTAAACCACTAATGAGAGAGACAGTAGATGGAGAAGTCCTCGGACAACTTTGATAATGCTTTGATTTATCCACAGTACATTTAGTTCAAATATTGTTTCCATCACAGAGGGATTGTGCTGGTTTCAGTGGGGAAAGTATGCAGCTCATTTAAATGTTCAAAGAGCTGTGAAAAGTTGTCCGTTCATAAAGTGTGTCAGTATTTTATAAGGATGTCATGTTTCTGTATCATCTCTCTCCTGTCAGAGCCTCTTCCAAACATCAGCCTGTTTAATGCTCTCATATCTTCAACATCTCAAGTAAATTATACTGCACAGTTTTCTGTCCAATAAAAGAATATTTACTGCATGAGTCTGTTTTCCATTTTATCTGAAACATTCAAGGAGATCTTTTACTGTATTTTGGTGATATTGCCCTTAAATATGACTAAAGCTTTCATACAGTGGTGATCACGGACATAACTCTGACATCAGTCTGACTGAACTCTGAAAATCACTGAGTGTTATTTCACAGAACCATAATTAGATTAACTCAAACTGAAACACGCGGTGTTAAACAGTAGTATAATTATCATTAACTGTCAAAGTAAGTGCGTATTTTGCTTGTTTCCGTTTCCATCAAAAATCGAATTAATTAATAATTGTTTGATTTGTGTTGATGAAGGCCTGCCTCCTTCTCCTCACAGTCACTTTTTACGAGACCATGAGTGTGTTTCATTTTTTGTTCTGTCAGTCTTGGATGTGACTCCTGAAAAGAGATTCACCATGATTCTGGTTCTCCTTTCACAGTCAGTACTGCTGGTTTCTCTCTCAGACTGACTGAAGATGAGTGATCTGGAGTCTCCAGGATCCAGCCGTCTGTCTGTGACCGACACAAAGTAAGATACTGTCTCTAATGTACACGAAGGAAATAGAGAACATAGGTGAAATCAGTATGTAGAAACAATTACAAGTTTAAAAGGACAAGTAAGATTGAGTGGGAGAGGACTGGTTTAACAGGAAGAAGAGAAAATTCCACAGTATCCGTGCAAAAAGTTTCACTTTGAAATCTTTAAAAGAATGTGGACAAACAGGTGGACTTGGTGTCAGTGGAGTTTACTCCTGGAAGTTTGAGATTATGATGATTATTACTTCAAAAACACCTGTAGAGACGTTTATCAGTCATTCCATACCAGCGCAGTGCCCAGTAACACTTTGAGGTGACTGGAGCTTTATATATAAAATGAATGCAGTCCGATCAGTTTATGAGAATAGTCAAAGTGACTTTGGTAATATTAGTTGCCAATTTTTAGTTGGTATTGGTTTGTAAGATTAGTTTAAAATGAAGACTTCATTTTAACTGAATTTTGTTACGTCTCAAGAATTTGGACTTTTAGCCTTAAGGACAAACCTAAGGAGGAGGTTGGACTTTAGAGTTGAGCCCAGAGATGTACGGCTGATTGAGGGGCTACTTTTTGTCATCAAACTAAAAAGAAATAAAATGTAGGCTTAGAAGACACGGTTGGTTGTTTGGTTCAGCATCTCTGAATATCTTCAGAGCTGTAGAGGCTTCAGAATGTAGAAGTTTGGATGGAAACTCCAAATACTTGAAGCCCACAAGATGCATCTTAAAAAGTCAAAAAGAAGCGAAGAATTGCTGTCGCTAAAACCAAAATAACATTTATAACAACAACAAAAGTGTATGATTTGGTAATATGATTGGAATGGAACAAATGGATTCTGAAAATCAGAGATTGAGTTTCCAAGTGAATAATGCAGCTGAAAAACTTTCCTGTTATATGAAGACTTTTAACCTGTAGTTCAGTATTGATCTGCCACAGTCAGCGAACAAAACTGCCAAAAAGGAAAAAGACATTAAGATCCTCAAAAGCTTGGCATAATATAGTCATACATTTTCACCTGAATACATCTGCCCTGTGCAAATCCGTTTCAAAGGCCTTTGCAGCTAATAATGGTCAATATATTAATTTAAAGAACACAGAAAAACAGCTGGTTCTTTTTCAGGGTTTCATAGCTTTTTTGTGTAGAATGCCAAGCTTTAATATTATAGAGATTTGCAAGTATCTACAAAGCATGATATGATGTGAAGTTCAACATCTGGGACATGTGTCCCGCTATGCATTGCAGAAAATGACTCAATCTCTTAGTACAGCAAACAAACAATGCAGGAGGGCGGGAAAATAATGGTCTCCTCTGCCGTGGCATCAGAAGTTGAGAATTGACGGGACAAAGTGTTGGGTTTCTCGTTTTGGGTTGCCGGGTCTATAGATCATAACACAGTTGAACCAAGCAAAGGAGAGGGCCCACCTGGTTTGTCTTGAGTGGCTGCTGTGAGATATGCAAGATGCTTGTGGTCAGTCAAACGATGAACAATGGTGTTCTGCTCCCTCCCGCCAGCTAGCAGTTCCACTTCTCCCACGTCATAGTTTTGCTCAGTTCGAGAAAGACAGCAGAAGGGAAAAAGCTGCATTTTCCCTTCCTTGTTCTGGAACAAGATGAACTCCATCAACGATAAATTGTTGGGTGGTCACACACAGCTGACTGCAGCTTTCCAGTCTTATAAACAGTACATTTGTACAATGACTGAAACCAGCCCACTGGCTGTGACGTCAGTTCCTTGATCATGAATATGCAAATTGTCATGACCATTGATCAACAATCATTGATCAAAGACCATTGATCGTGGAATAATCTTCCACACTGCACCTAACGTGACAAACTGAAAGCAGTCATTGGGTGGGAAACCTTGAGGAGAACACTTTTGACCTTAGAGAAGAGCTCTGCATAGAAAAGGATCAGGTTTGAACTTAGTTTGTGCAGCTGTACCTTTAACTAAGGCAAGTTCCTGCATCAACTCGTCCTGTTGTCTTTTTGAACTGTGCTTCACTATTCACTACAGATGAATGCACTGTAAACACCTGCGTGTGAGTCACTTTGGTCACTTTGACAGTTGCACTGGTAATAATAATTTTCCCTTTGTGTCCTCAGAGAGAACAGTGATGTTGGTGTGGAGGAGGAGGAGCAGTTGTCCTGCTGTGCTTTGGGTCAAGATGTCTCAGAGGATTCAGTCGCTACCAGTTGTGGCGTCTCTGTCCAAAGTAAGAGTCGGTATCCGTGTGCTGATGAACACATTTTTGAAAACTTGACTTCTTGTTTTGTAGGTGCATGAAAAAGATTTCATTCGATTTTTTATGGTATAGGTTTTTTTCCTGTTTTACTTTGAATGTTGTTTCCTTTCATGTCTCACGTTAGTTTTACTTCCTATCTTAATTATTTTTCACCTGGTTTGCTAAAGTTCAGCTGTCATGTTCCCCACCTGCTCACAATATCAGGCAATCCTCAATATATACTACTCAAAACAATCAGAGGAACACACTGAAAGCATAATGGCTCTCGCGCGGAGAAAAACATGCTGGAGATCAATACTGATGCAAACTGGGTGATGTGTTAGAAACGAAAGGATTCAATTGTTTGTTGGAAATAAATGATCAAAATACTGGATACTGGCTGAATCCAAATACAAACAGAAAATCAGAGTGAAAAACGCTGCAGCAGGCTTTTCCATTTGGCTCTGATTTCATAGCAGCAGCTCAAAATGAAATAGTTTGTATGGCTGCGTGTGCTGCTGGGCCAAAAGTTTAGCTGGTCATTTGTAGATTTTTAGATGAAATAAAAAACAAAAAAAAAACACTCAACAAAAGATCATCTAAAGAAGAGCAGAGTTCATGTACACACTTTATTAAGCAGCTACTGTACAACAAGAACAGAATCATGTAAATGGCCAAACAACAGCAACAGTAATCCCAGGGTGTAGCACAGCAGGCAAAGAGACGCAGTAGCACAGAGAGAGTAAAGGATCACATGGAGAACAAATGGAGCGCGCTCACGAGCCCTCTCTTCGTACAGAGCCAGAAACGTCTGACCCACAGAGCTCACTAAGACGACAATAACTCGTTTTTCCCACACAGATTACATATAACATCACACTGAATGAAATTACATGTAGCAGATTACATGAACTATATAAGATGAGGATTCGCGTATTAAGCATATTCAGAACTATTTCCTTCCATTATTTTCTTGGGTTAACAGTTTTTGTTGCTTTTCTGCTATCGCTTAAATTTTATTCATATAGCACCAAGTCACAACAGCCACCTTAAGGCACTTTATAGTGTTAGGTAAAGCCTCAGTAATAAAGCCTCAGACAACTCCCTACGAGCAACGACTTGGAGACATTAAGAAAGAAGAACTCTCTCTTTGTACAGTCGAAAACTGAGACGGAACCAGGTTCAGTGACGGGCCGCCATCCACCACGACTGGTTGGAATGAGGGGAGGAGGCAGGATAAAACCTGCAGGCTGAGAGCAAAGTGCTCCATCTATCTGATATGATATGATACTGTGAGGCCTCTCAGATAAGATGGGGCTGTTTTATTATGGCCCTTTTTATGTGAGAAGCATTTTGAATTCAGCTCTGGATTTAACAGGGAGCCAATGATGTGAAGCCAGTATGAGGGGATTTTCCCTCCTCTTAAAATGTCTCATTAGGAACATTTTTAACAGTTGCTTCTTGTCTCTGCTGTGACAAAAAAAAGGTTCTGATTATGAATCAAAATGTTTTAAATAATCACACACTGGTTATAACTTAATGCCGAAAATGTCATGTTACACGATTTACTATTTTCTGAAGCTTATTTACAATTTACAATGCTTAACACCATTCCCATCCCTCCCGTCAAAAGATAAAAGTCTGTTTTTCATGCAGTTTCACACACTAAAGACATTTCATTCTTTTTGGTTTCTTGTTGTCAATCAGCAGATGCGAGTCTGGAAGAGGTTTTAGAAGAATATAAGACCAGTCTGAGGAGGAGGTTTGAAAGTGTGACTGAAGAAACTGATAATACAGGAAGTGGAACCCTCCCGAACAGGATCTACACTGAGCTCTACATCACAGAGGGACAGAATGAAGACGTTCATAACCAACATGAGGTGATGCAGCTGGAGACAGCTTCCAAGATGGAGGCTCTTGATGACATTACAGTCAGGTGTCACGACACCTTTAAAGCCTTACCTGACCAACAGAGACCCATCAGAGTGGTTCTGACCAACAGCGTCGCTGATCAGAGACGAGCAGTACAGTCTTCTGGAGCTGCTCCATGTTTTCCATTCCAACATTACAGAAGGTCACAGCAGAGAAGCTGGCTGTCTGTAAACTTTTGTTCATCTTTGACGGCCTGGATGAAAGCAGACTTGGATCATTGGATTTCACCAACGGGAAGCTGCTGTCTGATGTCACAGAGAAGTCATCAGTCAGCCAGCTGCTGACAAACCTCATCCAGGGGAATCTGCTTCCCTCGGCTCTCGTCTGGATAACTCCCCGACCTGCAGCAGCCAATCAGATCCCTCCTAGACGTGTTGACAGGGTAACAGAAGTACGAGGCTTCACTGATGCCCAGAAGGAGGAGTACTTCAGGAGGAGATTCAGTGATGAAGAGCTGTCCAGAATCATCTCCCACATGAAGACATCCAGGAGCCTCCACATCATGTGTAGAATCCCAGTCTTCTGCTGGATCACTGCTACAGTTCTGGAGCACATGTTGACTACAGAGCAGAGAGGAGAGCTGCCCAAGACCCTGACTGACATGTACTCACACTTCTTGTTGGTTCAGATGAAGAAGGGAACAAACATGTGGGGGACATGAAACAAGTGAGATGGCTGAAAGGAAATTTCTTCTGAATCTGGGGAGGCTGGCATTTAAACATCTGGAAAAAGGAAACACCTTCTTCTACCAAGAAGACCTAGATCAGTGTGGTCTGGATGCTACAGAGGCCTTGTTGCACACAGAAGTTTATACGGAGCTCTTTAAACAGTGTTTGTTAATCTTGAAGGTGGCTTTTATTTGTGATTCAGGTCTCAATGTCTCTTTGTGTATACTTATATGCAGAAGTAACACAAAAGAAGAAGTGGAGCTGGCCTGACACCAGTAACTGACTTCCAGTGAAAGCTTTGGCTAATAATATTTTTTAGCGAACATTTTTCTTGTAAAACAAAGGGGGGCCTAGCAAAAAAGGTTTGGGAACCACTGCTCTACAAGGTTGGCGAAATAAAAAAAAATGTATTAACATTTTTTTATTTGGACTAAAAAAAATGTTCGAAGTGGACTAGGTGCTAATTTTCAGATGTCAGGTCTACATCTAGAATCAAAATGAGCACATACATAAACAACCAAAGTGAAGCATTAAGACAAAACATAGCAACGTCAAACAGCGTCCACACATTTTGCCACAAATACATGCAAAACAACTAAATTGGGCCACAAAAGTGATGCAAATTGACCAAACTAAGACACGAATCAGACAAAAACAGATGCAGGATGATCACAAACAGACACGTCGGCTACAAACTGATGCAAAATGACTAAAATCACACGTGTAACACTTTCTACATATTTGACAACAGAAGAAAAACACAAACAAACTTGGAATGCATTTTTAATTTGGATTTTTTTATTTCATGCCGAATTAGATATTTTAAAAATCAAGCCAAAGTCTCCTCCCTGTTTGTACTGTAAGGTCAAAGCCCTACTGTACTACAGAGAACCCCAACAATCAAATGATCCCCCTCTGAGCAAGCACGAGGCGACTGTGGGGAAGAAAAACTCCCTTTAACAGGAAGAAACTTCCAACGGAACCGGGCTCAGAAGGACGGCCATCCGCTGCGACCGGTTGGGGGATGGAAATCAAAAGGAGACGAGATGGCGTGAACTACAGTTCTAAAATTTGGATTTGAGGGCTGATCCCAAAATTTTATGGTGATGTTTTTAAAAAAAGGATTTGGTGCTAAAAGTCTGCTTCAAGATTTTAAAAGAAGCAGGGCAGTGGGAAAAGCCAAAATGGTCATTTTAATGATCTCTGGCTTTAGTGAACCACCTGAAGGGTTTTAGCAATGTTTTTCCCACCGCAGAAAAAAACCTGGATATTTTGGACGTCTTTGGGGACCCGGGATGACTCCGAGAGTGATTTTTAGATGTCTAATCAGAGCCTCATCAAAGATGAATCATTTGCCATCGAAGCCTTTAAGACATTGTCTGGGGAGCCAAACTCCTTGATGAGGCGTTTGGCTATTTTCTTGATGAACTTTGTCTTGTCATTTGTCAGACTTGTGGCAGACGCTGTGCTGCTGAGTTCAGGCTGCATTAGATTGCTCAGACGATTGATGACCGTGTCTATTTCTTTTGTAGTAGTTGCGATCCGAACAGCAGACTTTTGGGTCTCAGGTTTAGATTTATGGATGACTCTCATGATAAGGAGCAACGCAAGGTCATTGGAAATTTTCTCAACATCAGAAGATGAACCTGACACAGAATCCATCTCTGATATTTTGGAGGAATCTTTGAGAGAGTGTTTCAGGCTCAAGGCTCCAGATGATTTTTCTGGAGAAATGCTCCCAGTTTTTGGCGTTCGAGGTGGTTTTTCAGATGCCACAGAGCATCTACCTGGAGAAATGCTCCCAGTTTTTGGCATTTGAGGTGGTTTTTCAGATGCCACAGAGCATCTACCTGGAGAAATGCTCCCAGTTTTTGGCGTTCGAGGTGGTTTTTCAGATGCCACAGAGCATTTTTCTGGAGAAATGCTCCCAGGTTTTGGTGTTGGAAGTGACGCATCAGATTCTTTTCCTCTGCCATCTGAAGCAGGGCTTTTCTCCTGTGTTGTGGTCTGTGTTCTTTTAATAAAGTTGTGGATGTCTTCCAGGGCCCCAGAAATCTTGTCCATTTGAACAATTTGATCTTTCTCTTCATTCTCCACCCAGAGTAAAAGCTTCTGCAAAAACCTTTCTACTGTGTCATCTATGAGGACATAGAGGACTTCAGCAGAAATGGGACGCTTTGAGCCCTCTACTGATTGTGGCGTCCTGGAGATGACCGTGTCTGAGAGGGACCTACCCATTAGAGGTATGGGGATTTGATAGCCTCGATCCACCGTAAGTAGATCAAACAGGTTTGCCACTAAGTCCTCCGTAAAATTCCTGATATGCCCACTATTTTTAAAGTCCCCCAAGGTCTTATCGATGAGGAAGAGTTCTTCTTTCTTTGTTAATTTGTCAAATAACTGATTAACGTCTGATCTA